GAAGAGTCAGCAAGATGTTTTAGACTGAAACTGAAGAAGTTCTTCCTGGCCGCGCATGCATAAATCCAAGTCGCGAAACACTGGCCCACTTTTCAAATAGGATAACTTTGAGCGGCTGTTCCCACAACAAAGTTGCCTCCACAGAGGTCTCAGCTCTCGAGTGGTAGGAGGACAGAAAAGCTTTTTATATTCGCTGCCAGTCCGCTGAAAAACTTGTCAACTCATCTTTCTGACTTAATCGGCGCGTACATCAGTAGAAGGTCACATATTTACTTCGATTTCAATGGGAAAATATCTCAAACAAAGCACAGAAAATAAACTGTCGTACGGAGTACTCTGACAGTGAAATAAGGGTCACATTTGATAAGATTTCATCAGTGAAATGAAGTGAATAGCTAATAAGCCAGTTGCCATAATCAGTCGTTATCGCTTTCATCGCCAAAATCTGCCTAGAAATCATAAACGGCAGTTAAACGATGCTAAGAAGATTTATAGCCCAATTTTCACTTCTGCAGTGTACAGTATATGCTAAGCACGTTGCAGTAAAAATCAGCTCCACCGCAATTCAGTAATTCGTTTTGTCAGTAAGCTTATCTGATCTCCCATGTACAATGAGATGATAAAACATAATAAAAGGCTAATGCACAGACTGCCGGTGCGAAGATGCGTTTTTTGCATTGTTCCCCGCAGTTTTTGTCGCTAACGGCATTGTTTTTCCGGCGGATCTTCTAGCTAAGAGAATTGAGACTGGCCACCAGGGCTGTTTGAAAACATACCTTTAAGATCCCAGTCCTCTAACTTTTCAGTTTCCAGAATTATCCGTACAAAACTTTCACGGGCTCATATGTGGAAACCACGCATACCCGGAGGTTAGGTTTGAACTAATTAGGACCTACGCAGACGGGGAACATCCCCTTCTAAAACTCGCTGCGTCCTTACGTGCAATCTCATGCCCAAATACAAGCTAGCACTGTGATCCCATAACGAAGCAAACAATGAAACTAAAATTCTGTTACTTTTTTAGCGATGATGCAGAACAATATCATAACGGGACATAAACGGTCAGCGTTCTGTCGCACTAACTCAGTGTAAACCTACAACACTTCGGCCTTCTCCCTCGTGCGATTACTTATTATGCATTCTGTGCTGAGTAACAACTGCACAAAATGCGCTCAAACACATAAACACTCTCTGAGTCATCTGGAGATTTCGTCTTTTTTTTTTAACTTGGATTCTTTTAAAGGCTAAAGGGCTAGTGCCGATCATGCGTTTTGCATAGATTCTGACTTTTGGAAGTTGCTCCTAAGGATATTCACTCTAAAATTCCAGTTTCCTAACTTTTGGTTGGAAGGCAGTGACAAAATGCACTCGGACAAGCTAAGAAGCTGGAATTTTAGAGTGAATATCCTTAGCAGCAACTGTCCAAAAGTCAGAATCTGCGCAAAACGCATGATCGGCGCTAGTCCTTTAGCCTTTAAAAGCATACAAGTTAAAAAAAAACGAAATCTCCAGATGAGCAACACTAAGTGGGAGAAACTAGCAAACAACGGGATGGAAGTGCATTTATGTGCAATAAAACTAAAAATGGTGATTAAACGCAGTTTTTTTTTTCTTTTTACGAACCAAGAATCATTTTGTTTAGGAAGGCCTTTTCCCCTAAACAATCG